TGGCAGTCTGACCTGGATGAGAACTGATAACTGTGATTTGGTTGTCAGTGCTTCAACCAGCTGTCCATGCATACACATGAAAAGGCCTCCTACCTGAGGAGAACAGTGTGGTCCTTCAGATCTTACACACTGGTAGTATCTCCTGGCTCCAGTCCTGGTTCTCAGTCCCCTTTGCCTTGGAATGTTATCTCCAGGCCATCTTTCATGCCTTTGTCAAATGAATTTTTAGGATCTTCGCTCTTCCATTGCAGCTTTTACATCTTCCTTTAGGACTCTCCATGCACAGAAGACTGAATTTGCTGGGGGATTACAGGTCTGATCAGATTAATTCTTACTTGCATATCAGTACCCAGCAGATGGACAGCACTCTATGATGTCTATTTTTTTTTGGTCCTGGGGATGGAACTCAGGAACTTGCACTTTGGAGGCAGGTGTAGCACCACTGAGCTAAATCCCTGGCCCTATGATGTCTTTCTTAACCACCCTGGCCTTCACATTTGTCACAAATCTTGTCCTTTTGCAGAGCTAGTTTTCTTGTTGCACGATTGTGTGAGTCTTCTAATGTAACTCAGAGCTGATGTACTGCAATTTGACCTCTCCTTTCTCTCTGCATCCTTCCTCCTCCTCTGGAAAGCACATCAAAGATATCCATGGGGGACCATCCCAGCACCTGCCCCACCTCCTTTAATTGCCTTCTCCTCCATTGTCATCCATCCACTTTTCTTGGCATGGGGAGAACTTTGTAAGCTCAGAACTGTTTGAACTTTGCTCCTTCATTTGTGTTCTTATCCTTGTGGAACTTCAAGGCCAGTTCTTTGTTTTTTTTTTTGTACCAGGAATTGAACTCTGGTCCCTGTGCTTCCGAGGCAGGCAGCGGAACCACTGAACTATTCCCTGGCCCCAAGACCAGTTTTCTATAATCCTGAAAGGCCTTACTGGAAGCAGTTCTTCTCCAGGGGCATAGTTTGACCCCGTAGGCATTGTAGTGAGCAGTTTCTTCATCGTGTTCTACACCATTGAGTGGCTGGAGGAGCCGGGCAGGAGTAAGGAGCTGTGTGCGGTTGGCCAGTGGCTGCTCCTTGACCTCTCACAGCACTCTGCAGAGTTCCATCTGTTAATTTTTTTTTTTTTTTTTTGCTTTTCCAATAATTAAAAAACATTTATTTATTAGATGTGTTTGCAGTACGTGATGTTTACATTCCTTGTGTGGAGTTGGTACACGTATGCAACACAGCTTCATGCCTGTTTTCATCCACTTTCCCTCCCTTCTATCTCTTAAGCCCTTTCCTGTTTGAGAAAAATCTGTCTCCCTACTTTCTATTATGTTTTACTTTGGGTTTTTGTTAGGTGAATCCATCTCGGGACCTTGCGCTTATTTGCAAGGCGGGTGTGGTGCCGCTGAGCTAAATCCCAGGCTATTGTCTTTTACTTTGCTCTTTACTTATATTTTAGGTTTCTTAGTGCTAGTGTAGCCCTGTGGATCTTATGTCTCTGTAGTTAAGCTCTCTCTGTTTTCCTTTATTTTCTCAAATATAGTAATCATAATTATGTTTGAATCATTTGTATATTAGCTCCAGTGTCTGTGTCACCTGCAGCTCTCTCTTTTTTTTTTTTTTGGTATCAGGGATTGAACTCAGGTCCTTGTGCTTGCGCAGCAGGCGGCGAAACCACTAAGCTACATCCCCGGCCCTGCAGCTCTCTTTTTGTTGCTGTTTTTCCCATCTTGTTTTAGCATTTTAATTCCATTTTTAGCATGTTACTTTTTTTTTGTACGGGGGATCGAACTTGGGTTCTTGTGCTTGTGTAGCAGGCAGCGAAACCACTGAGCTAAATCCCCGGCCAACATGTTACTTCTTTTGTTGTTTGTTTTTTTGAGACAAAGTCTCATGGTGTAGTCCAGGCTGACCTTGAACTCACAGTGATCCTCCTGTCTCAGCCTCCTGAGTGCTAGGATTACAGGTACGCACCACCATGACCAGCATAGCATTTTACAATTTTTGATCAAGTCCTGTTGATGTGGATGAAAAATTCTAGAGGCTTTCATATTGTTTTTCTTTTCTTTTCTTTTCTTTTTTGGTACCGGGTATCGAACTTGGGACCTTGCGCTTGCAAGGCAGGCGCCAGAACCACTGAGCTAAATCTCCGGCCCTCCATACTGTTTTTCTTAAAAAGAGGGTAACATTTTCGGGCCAGGGATTTAGCTCAGTGGTTCTGGCACCTGCCTCGCAAGTGGAAGGACCTGAGTTCGATCCCCAGTACAAAAAAAAAAAAAAAAGGTAACATTTTCTTTTGGTAAGTAGATAATTGTGGAGGATCACCTAAATTCTGCCAGTATTTGGTTTTGGTTTTGTGCAAAGTTAAGCCTAGTGTATTATTGTTGTTGTTGTTGTTGTTGTTGTTATTATTTTGGTGGTACTGAGGATTGAACCCAGGGCCTCTGGACTGAGCTACATCCCCAGCTCCTCCACCTGTTTCATCTCTTCCTCTCTCCATCTCTCCCTGTCTCAATCTTTCCCTCCCTCCCCCATTTCCTTCCTTCCTTCATTCATTTATATTTTTTTCTTTTTTTTGTACTGGGGATCAAACTCAGGACCTTGGTGTTTCTGACTGGGTGCTGTCCTTTGCGGGGTGTTATCCCTTAGCCTCTGCAGCTGTGGCTGCCTGAGGTCTGACTTAGCCACCTGAGAGCGTTTATGCAGTCTAGGTTGTCCTTGTGAGCACCCTTTCTCAAAGATCACAGCTTCTTTGTCCTGTCCGCAGTGGCTATTCTCCAGTGGCTGTAGACTGTTGTCGCATATATTCAGGTTTTGCTTGTACAGTTTTTCAGTGTTTCTAGCAGTGTGCTTAGTTTAATAAGAAATACTCGGTCATGGTGAGGACCAGATGTCTTGGGTAGCTGGGATTATAAGGGTGTGGCACCATAGTTATGGCTTTTATTCCATGTTTATAAGATAGTTTCCTAAATTGGAATTATGCTAACCTTAATGATTTTTCCCTGAAAAATTACTTTCTGCAGTGAATTTCATATTTTAAAAATTCTATGTTTTCTTTATAAATTTATTTAAGTTATATTTTGTATTTCTTTTTTTTTTTTTTTTTTTGAGATAGAATCTCACTATGTAGTCCAGGCTGGCCTTGAACTCACTATATAGCCCAGGCTGGCCTCAAACTCGTGGTGATCCTTCTGCCTCAGCCTCCTGATTGTTGGGATTACAGACTAACGCCACTATGCCTGGCTTGTATTTCAGTTTTTACTAGGACTAAGTAGTTTTCCATGGTTTGGTCCATCCTGTCCATATGAACTTGTGCTAGTCTGTATATTATTACAGGTTTGAAACAAAAATAACTGATGGAAACTAAGAGTAAAATTTACTTATTTATTAAAAGTAAAAACTTAGGAGAAATTTATATTTCAACATTATGGCCACATTCTTTTTTTTTTTTTTTTCAGACAGGGTCTCGCTATGTAGCCCAGGTTGGCCTCTAATTTATGGTGATCTCCTGCCTCAGCCTCCCAAGTGTTGGTATTACTGGTGTGTGCCACCACACCTGGCCTGCACTGATAAAATCTTTGTAAACAGAGAAGGTTGTCTTGATGTTAATCTTCTCTAACTCCTTGATATCAAATAGTAGCCAGCAGAAGTATCAGAGAGATGTAAATCTTTTTTTGTTTTTGTGTTACTGGGGATTGAACTCAGGACCTTGTGCTTGTGAGGCAGGTGTGGCACCCCTGAGCTAAATCCCCAGCCCCAGAGAGATGTAAATCTTGTTTTAGTGTTTCATGATATTTCTTCCCAAGACTTACCAGAGTTCCATGGTCAATAAATTCTTCTTTTTTTTTTTTTTAAATAAATTCTTCTTTTTGTTTGGTTACATACTTCTTTGGTAGACTCAAATACTTCATCCACTTCCTTTTTCTTTGTATAAGATCAGAAAGTAGATTTTATTTGATTTTTTATTTTTTGGTACCGGGGATCAAACTTGGGTCCTTGGGCTTGCGAAGCAGGCGGTGAATCCACTGAGCTAAATCCCTGGCCCCAGAAAGTAGATTTTTAAAAAAAATTTCTTGTTCCCCTTTTTCCCTTTTATAGACTAAAGTGTATAATAATAATGATAAATTATATGTGTATAATGTCTCATTGCTTGTAAAGCACTTTGATGAATATTATTAAGATTAATATTAATCTCCGTGACATCCCTGTTGGGCAAACATTCACTCAGGAGGCTGAGGTAGAAGGATTGCTGCAAATTCAAGGCCAACCTGGGTTACATAGTGAGTTCAAGATCAGCCTGAATTACTTAGCAACACTCTGTCTTAAACCCCCCCGTCAAAAAAAGGAAAAAAATATAAATGAAGGAAGGAAGGAAGGAAGGAAGGAAAGAAAGGGGGAGGGAGGAAAAGATGGATTCTGGAGCTACAGCGTTTGGCTTCAAAACATGAGCCTGTCATTTATTAGCTCTTTGGAAAGTTTCTTTTTTGGTTTGTTCCCTCATCTGTACAGTGGGAAAAGTAATAGTGTCTATATTTTTAAGTTTTTAAAAATGTTGAGGGCCAGGGATTTAGCTCAGTGGTGCTGCTGCCTTCCTTGCAAGCACAGGGTCCTGAATTCAATCCCCAGCAACACCCCCCCCCCCAAAATGTTGAGACATAGTCTTGCTAAACCACCAAGTTGCCTAGGTGGGGCTTGAACTCACTGGGTGCTGGGAGTGCTCCCATCTTGGCCCATGTAGGAATGTGAAGAGAATCACCTGTGCACGTGTGAGGCATGTGGGAGAGTGCCTGACGCATCCTGCAGTACTCTTGAGCACTAGCTGTTCTTAATGCTGTGCTACTGTTAGGAAGCCACTGTCACAGCCACTGCCATGTCAGTCTGGTTTTCAGCGCCAGACAGCTGGTAGCATGATTTTCGTTTGCTGTTGGCTTTTTGGACTAAGTTCCTAGAACAGCAGTTTTTGAGAGTCTTGTGATGCTCTCATTTTTGTTGTTGTTGTTTTTGCAGAAGAGCAAAGCAGTGAAGAAAATGAGAAAAGGAGAAAGAAGAAAAAGGGTACCAAGAGGAAACGAGATGGGAGGGGTCAAGAGCAAGGGGCCTTGGCGTGTGACCTGAAGCTTGATGACGTGCTTGACCGTACCTTAGAGGATGGCGCCAAGCAGCACAACCTGACAGCCGTCAATGTGCGAAACATCCTTCATGTGAGTGAGGCCAGGGCGGCAATGTCCTGGGATGCAAATAAAAATTCTCAGCAAATTCTTCATTCTTGGTATATGTGTTACCAAAACATACTCCTCAAGGTAGTTTTCTCTTGCTGAACATCGTGGCACATGCCTGTAATCCCAGCACTTGGGAGCCTGAGGCAGGAGGATCGCCAGGAGTTTGAGGCCAGCCTGAACTGCATATCAAGACTCTGTCTCAAAAAAATAAAAACAGGGGCCAGGGATTTAGCTCAGTGGTTCCTCCACCTGCTTCCCAAGTGCAAGGACCCAGTTCGATCCTGGGTACCAAAAAAACAAAAACAAAAACAAGCAAAATCAGAATAGCTTTCTCTTTACACTCAACACAAGTGTGAAATCTAGCTGGGTGTGGTAGTGCATGCCTGTGGTACTGCATGCCTAGGATCCCAGCACTGGGGAGGTGGAGGCAGGAGGAGCAGCTCCCATGAGTTCCAGGTGAACTCTTGGTGACCCCCATGCCTGGGTTATTACTCCTTCTCTTAAGCATATACTTAGTTACCTTAGGTTGCCTTTTTATTCTTATTTCTAGTAGCATCTAATAAAATTGGTCCATTTGCTGCTCTGTTATTTAAAGTTGTATGCTTCTGTCCAAATCTTGCCTTTTGGTGTTTCGTTGTTTTGCTTTACCGCAATCTGAAGCTACTTGAGAATATAACTCATTTATCCTCCATATTGGTGTACAGTAGCAGTTACATAGAGATGACTGTTAGCTAGATGACAGCTTCCTTTGGCATAAAGTGAAATTTCATCTTTTTCCAGGAAGTAATAACAAATGAACATGTGGTGGCTATGATGAAAGCAGCCATCAGTGAGACAGAGGACATGCCCATGTTTGTGAGTAATTAATTGTCACTTTTAATGTCAGGGAAGAGAATTATTTATAAAATGGCTAAGAATAGGAGGTCACTTTGGAGTTTGTAAACAGTAAACAATTTAACGGGGAGGGGGGCAAAGTTAGCATCTCCAAACCTGAGAATCACATGGCAGTTTTTATTGTCTCTTCTGTTTGTCCCTCTTAGGAGCCTAAAATGACACGCTCTAAACTGAAGGAAGTAGTGGAGAAGGGAGTGGTAAGTGGTGTAGGTTTTTCTTTGCTTTTTTAGCTTGGTAGATAGGATTTAATTCTAGGTTATTCATAGGGGAGAAATTATAGGAAAAATTTTACTCTAGGTGTTTTTTTAAAAAGAATTATTTGTAAGCCAGGTGTGATAGCACACACCTGTAACCCCAGCACTGGGGCTAAGGCCAGAGGATTGCAATTTTGAGTCCTGCTTTTGTGACTTAGTGAGATCCTGTTTCAAAATAAGAAAATAGGGCCGGGGATTTAGCTCAGTGGTTTCGCTGCCTGCTGCACAAGCGCAAGCGCAAGCGCAAGCGCAAGGACCCGAGTTTGATCACCGGTACCAAAAAAAAAAAAAAAAAATGTACAACTACAAAATAAAAAAATACTGGGGACATAGCTCAGTGCAAAGGGCCAGGATTCAGTCCCCAGTACTGTGCACACACACACACACACACACACACTCACACACACACATACACACAGAAGCAGCAATAGGAAACAGAGATGGGAAGGGGCTGCACCTGAATTACATCAAACCCTTTACCCTGTACTGGTTCTCCATACACAAAATGTTCAGAATGTAACAGGCCTGAAATGTGACATCTTTAAGGCTCGTTTGAGACTGATCTTGAGGGCTAGTTGTCTTTTGTTTGTAAGATGATTTTGGTTTTGTTACAATTAATGCACAAGAAATTACATGTCCTTAGTGGTATCTTAGTAGCAGTATGTAAGAGCTTTTAAAATATTCTTTAAAAAGTTTCGAAGCTGGGCATGGTGGCACACGCCTACGATCCCAGCACATGGGAGGCTGAGGCAGCAGGATCCCTGTGAGTGTGAGGCCAACCTGGGCTACATAATGAGTTCAAGGCCAGCCTGAACTGCATAGGGAGACTTTGTCTCAAAAAAGTGTTTCCTTCCTGGGTTCAATCCTTAACACTAAGAAAACAAAAACAAGAAGAAAAATAAAACAAAAATACTTTTTCTTTAACTCCATTATGACAATTTAAAAATATACAGAATGTTGAAAGAAGCTAGGTGTGATGGCGCATGCCTGTAATCCCAGCACTAGGGAGGCTGAGACAGAAGGATTGTTTCGAGTTTGAGACCAGCCTGGGCTACATAGTGAATGCAAGGCCAGCCTGAATTACAGAGTGATACCCTATTTAAACAAAACAAAACAAAAACACTAAGCTAAACCAAAACTATAAACAGTATTATGATCAATCTAGGTTCCAAGAGTAACATTTTATCATATTTGTTTTATATATGTCTATGTCTTTGTTCTTTTTTCGTGTACTGTTTAAAAGTAAACATGGACAACCTGACACTTTCCCCTAAATCTTTCTGTAAGAGCTTATTGTGGTTGATGCTTTGGAGGTATGCTAATAGTGAGTGTGTGTGATTGTTTTTTAAAAAAATGCTGTTATATCTCGGTGGTAGTGTGTTTGCCAAGCATATATGAAGTCCAGGGTCTGATCCCCAGCACTGAGAAAGAGTACTCATGTCAAAAGGCTAATGTAAAAATGGAAACAAAGCCTCTGTAAATGGGGAGGGGTGGAGAGGGTGAAGGGAGGGCAGGGAAATGGGGAAAAAATAAGAACCAAGATACATCATGTAAAGGTACAAGATCCCAACGATGAATGTAGATATATTGTATACCTAAAATGTACCAGTAAACTTAATGAAAAGAAAAGGCTAATGTAGCCACAAAATCTTAGGTTTGTGTAGTTACTTAGTTTACAAATTACAAGTAGTTTTCATATCCATTGTTCCATATGAACTCATGCTGTGATATAAGTAGGCAAGATAGGGTTTTTTTCCCCCTTTATAGATTAAAGAGAATCTTAATAGGTTTAAGTTAAGCTTTGACAAATCTGTGAGAGTATGCCCTCAACATTAGTCACTGTAGGTACTTGTTAGGTAGATGACTCTTTGTGATGGTCAAGAGGCAGTAAAAATGCAGAACAATAAATTTCAGCTAATTGTGTACTCTCTTGGATAGGTGATTCCAACATGGAATATTTCTCCAATTAAGAAGGCAAATGAAATTAAGGTAAACTCGGAAGAAGTTGTCCTTCTTTTCCAGAGAAAGTTCATCAACTTTGAAATCTAAGTACTTCTCTTCTACTTTTTTAGACCTATCTTTTTGTTTTAATTCCAGCCTTGATTTCGTTTCTGTTCTCTTATTCTTAGGTTTGTGCATCAGAATCATATAACCTGCTTTGAATTTTTTTGGCCTAGCTGCATGTTATGTTCTTAGGAATTGTTTTTCTACCTTGTTTTCTTCCCCTTAGTTTCCAAATACATGTAGTTTTGCTTTCCCAATACTGCATTTCTTTCTCTTTTTTTCCTTCTTTCTTTTCTTACTTTGGTGTCACTAAGCACATGCCTTACCACTGGGCCTCACCCCAGCCCTGCCCCTTTCTGACTGTCAATGCAGCCTCCGCAGTTTGTGGATATCCACCTGGAAGAAGATGACTCCTCAGACGAAGAATACCAACCGGGCGAGGAAGATGAGGACGAGACTGCCGAAGAGGTCAGTGACTGCAGTGTTCACCGCCCTAGTTTAGTCAGGCAGAGTACACTTTGCTTTGTTAGTATTGACATGCATTTTATACATGATATTGAGACATAGTTTTCTTAATCATTTCTTTGATGTAAAGTGTTTTTCTGTTCTTTTATCTCTCTCAGTTTTATAGCTTATATTAGTTATAAACAACATAGATATGTGTACAGAATAAAATAGGTACAGTTGAAATAATTATAATATTGTGAGTCCCCATGAAACTTTTTCCAAATTCAAGAAATGTAACATTGCCAGGGCAAACCCAGTATGGCCTTCCCAGTTAGCTTCACCTCCCTCCCTCTAAAACTAATCACTAGCCTTTCTTCTGGTATTAACTCCTTGCTTGTTTTTCCTTGTAGTTACATCACCTGAATATGCATCTCTGTACACTGTAGTTCACTTTTCACTGTTTAGAAACTTTGTATAAATAAATGTATGGTGTATGTGTTCTTTTCTTCCTGGCTTTTGTTGTTTTTGTTATTATGCCTTTGAGATTCATATATATTGTCCCTTATAGCCATAGTTTGCTCATTTTTAATCACTGTGTTAAATATTGTTTGATTTTTAGTGTTTTCTTTGAGTTATGGTAAGAGGATTTTAAGCCAATGCCTTACACTTACAGACAGTATGGTCAGATGAGGATACTGATCAGATCCCTACACCCCCTTTGAATATTTTTTTTTTTTTTTTTGGTACTGGGGATCAAATTTGGGACCTTGTGCTTACGAGGCAGGCACCAGAACCACTGAGCTAAATCCCTGGCCCTCCCTTTGAATGTAAAGCCATTTAAATTTTATTTTCCTTCTCTAATTGAGTGATTGATATTTTCTGATTCAATCTCATGATACTTCAAACTCAGTGAATTGAGTTTGGGGGACACACACGTGTGAACTGGGTGTTTTTTAGAGCTTATTGGAAAGTGATGTTGAAAGCACTGCATCATCTCCACGTGGGGCAAAGAAATCCAGATTGAAGCAGTCTTCTGAGATAGCGGAAACGGATGAAGAGAGTGGCGTGTTATTAGAGGTAAATCAGCATCTTACGAAAGAGATGAATTGGACACAACTATATAAGTAGATCATTCAACTGTTTAAGTAGGTGATGTGTTTGTAGTGAATCTGATCTCTTCACCCCTTTTCAGAGTTTCTTGCCTCAGTGAACAGTTAAGAGAAGGCTAGCCCAGGCATTATGTACACACTTGTAATCCCAGCACTAGGCAGGAGGATCACTGTGAGTTTGAGGCTAGTCTGGACTACATAGTGACCTCAAGGCCAGCCTCAGCTACGTAGCACAACCCTGTCTCAAAAAAAGAAAAAAGAGAAGACTGAGGCCTAGTGATAGGGGAAAACTGTTCTCAGTTCTCATAAAGGGGCTAGAAGTATGTAACTGGCAGTTTCTTTTCTTCTGCTTTTTTTTCTCTCACACCCATTGTCCTTAAAGACATTTTTATTAGATTTTTGTTGTTGTTGTTACCAGGGATCGAACTCAGGACCTTTTGCTTGTGAGGCAGGCAGTGGCCCCACTGAGCTAAATCCCTGGCCCCAATAGTGGGGAGGTTTGAGGCAGGTTCTGTGTAGCTCAGGCTGACCTTGAAGTCATGATGATCCTCCTGCCTCAGCCTCCCAAGTGCTGGAATCACAGGTGTGTGCCACCATGCTCAGGTCTGTATTAGATTTCTTACTTAGTGTTTTTTTTTTTTGTGGTGGTACTAGATTGAACCTAGAGCCTTTGCCATAAGCTACATTTCTAGCCCATTTTTATATTCTAAATTTGAGACAGGGTCTTGTTATACTACTGAGTTGCTCAGTCTGGGCTTGAAACTTGTGATCCTTCTGCCTCAGTGTTCCTGGTAACCCAAGTAGCCTTGTGTTGGCTTCACTGGAAACGGCGTGAAACCTCATTAGATCTATGTACTTGGCAGTGCCTTTGTTTTCCTGTACCTCAGTCTAGATGAGAAGAAAAAGGTCAGTAGCACTGGGGACTCTGCTGTTTCTCTCTTTCCCCGCTCCCTTCTCCTTTTCTCTCTCTTCTTTCATTTCTTCCTTAACAAAATTGCCTCTCTTATTCAGGCTGAGAAAGTCACCACACCTGCCATCAGGCACATCAGTGCTGAGGTAGTACCCATGGGACCTCCACCCCCTCCGAAGCCAAAGCAGACCAAGGATAGCACTTTCATGGAGAAGTTGCATGCGGTAGATGAGGAGCTGGCTTCCAGTCCTGTCTGTATGGATTCTTTCCAGGTAAGCATCACCTTTGCAGTCACTGAAGAAGCAAAATACAGTAATTCAGGGGCTGGGGATTTAGCTCAGTGGTTCCAGCACCTGCCTCGTAAGTGCAAGGACCCGAGTTCAATCCCCGGTACCAAAAATAAAAAAATACAGTAATTCAGTTGATCCTTATGTTGGGGGAGTAATTTTTACATAGTAACATTCTGGAAATCACAGAAAGAAATACAGGAGACACAGAATTTGGGTAAAATAATAAAAGTTTACTTGCAAGCAGACAGGACCGCCAGAAACTGGTCTGGTCAGTGTCCGCACGGATGTTAGTTCAGTTTCCCGTTTTATACCCTTTTTAGTCATTTTCTCATCCCTAGTGGTCTTTGTTGAGTAAATAAAATTCAGTTCTGTTTAATGGTTAGACACAGCTGGTTTCTGTTACTGATTATAGTCAAACACATGACGGTTAAAGCACATATATTACAAATTTGCCCAAGCATTGCAACTTTGTTCTTCAGAGTTAAGATGTTATCTGTAGGAAAGCTACAGATCGAATGAGTCATATATCTATCACTTTAAACAACTAGAGTAACGGGGAAAAGCAAGTCTTAAAGGGATACACTACCTATTTTGCTTCTACAACTACTTTAATAGTTAATCTACTAAGCTGTCTAAAACTTTTTCCCTATCAGTAAGAGCCATGATATAGTATTTGATTCTCTTGTTTGTGTCATTTTCTCTTACATGAGAATGGGAGTTTCTTTGTTTTTAGTTTATTGAGACAGGGTCTTGCTATGTAGTTTGGTTGCTGGCCTTGAACTCACTATGTAGCCCAGGCTGGCCTGGGACATGCAGCAATCTTTCTGCCTCAGCCTCCCAGGTGCTGAGATTACAGGTGTGTGCCACCACACATTCCCTTTTTTCTCTTTTAGAATACAGTAATCTTATTCAACTACTGAACTACTCAGATTTTGGTGGCTGTCCTAATGATACCCGTTACAATAAAAAAAATTGGTTTTTCTAATCCAAGATCTATTCTATGATTACATATGTATTTTCCTTTTTGTCCTTAGTTTCCTTAACCTGGAAATTTTTCAGGCTTTTTTTGGTGTTTTTTAACTTTTGTAGATGTTCTTCCATTTGAATCTTCTGGTATTTGTTCTCAGTCGTATCAGCTGTGTGCTTTTTCACTGGTACTGCAGCAATGCTGTGTCCCAGCGCATCCCAGCAGGAAGCACTGGTGTCTGTCACGTAGTGCTTATCACTTGCCCAAAGTGTCCGGTTCCTTCCCCACCTCAGGGTTACTGTTCTCCATTTTTAATTAGTACCTCACAGTGGGCCAGGGACTTAGCTCAATGGGACTGTGTCTGCCTCGCAAGCACAAGGTCCTAAATTCCATACCTGGTACCAAAAAACCAAAAACAAATTAGTATCTCATAGGAATATCATTTGAGGCAAATATCTTTTTATTCTCTAATTTTAGTTGCCTGAAAGTTATTACTATGGTTATCATCACATGATGACTTTATTTATTTGCTTATTTATGTATTTTTTGGAACTGAGCATCGAATTCAGGACCTTGTGCTTGCCAGCCACATTTACATTTACAGCCAATTGATTTTTTTGGGGTTACTGGGGATCGAACTTGGGACCTTGTGCTTTCGAGGCAGGTGGCAGCACCACTGAGCTAAATCCCCAGCCCTCCAGTTGATTTTTGACAAGTATGTAAATATCCATTAATGGGGACAGAATAGTCTTTCAACAGATAATGGTAGAACAACTGAAAGTCCACATGTAAAAGAATGAAGCTAGACTCTTACCTTGCACCATGTTTAAAATTAACTCAAAATGTATCATCAGGGTTGGCAGTGTAGATCAGAAGCAGAGCACGTGCCTAGCATGTATGAGGCCCTGGGTTCATTCCCTGATGCTTTAACTTAAAAAAAAAAAATCACCAACCTAAACTTTAGGACTAAATAACTTTGAAGAAAGCACAGGAATGAATCTTTGTGACTTTCAGTTAAGCAGTGGTTTTTTTAGCTTTAACAACAAAAGCATAGGCAATAAAATTTAAAAGTTTTGTTTGTTTTTTTGGTACCGGGGATCGAACTTGGGTCCTTGCGCTTGCGAGGCAGGTGGTGGAACCACTGAGCTAAATCCCCGGATCAAAATTAAAAAGTTGCTATATCGAACCACATGAAAAGGAAAAACGTATGTGTTTCATGAATGTGAAGCCAGCTGTGGGGCCAGGTCTGTAATCCCAGCAGTCTGGGAGGCCAAGGCTGGAGATGTGTGAATTCAAGTCCAGCCTGAGCACCTTAGCGGTTTAGAGACCCTCTTTCAAAAAAGTAAAGGATGAAAAGGGCTGGGGATGCAGCTCAGAGGGTTAAAGGCCCTGGGTTAAATCCTCAGTACTGCAAAGAAAAAAAAAAGTGAAGATAACCCACAAAATGAAGACAATATTTGCAAATTACACAGCTTACAAGGCCGGGGATTTAGCTCAGTGGTGCCGCCACCTGCCTCGGAAGCACAAGGTCCTAAGTTCGATTCTCGATACCATTAAAAAAAAAAAAAAAGCATTTACAGCTACACTACATAAAGAACTCTTGCAGCACAGTAATAAAAAGACAATTCTCAGAAGGGGAAAGATGATGTATGAATGGCTGATAAACATGAAAAGATGACCACCATCCTTAGTCATTAGGGAAATGCAGATCAAAACAGCAGTGGGCTGGGAGTCAGGTGTGGTGGCACACACTTGTAATCCCAGCACTCAGGAGGCTGAGGCAGGAGGATTGCTGAGCTTAACACCAGCCTTGGCTACACAGTAAGTTCAAGGACAGCTTGAACTACACAGCCAGACTCTGTCTTAAAAAACCAAAGCAAATAAAAAAATATAGGACTGGGAGTATAGCTCAGTGGAAGAATACTTTCTTTGCATGCATGAGGCCCTGAGTTGAGTCTCCATCAAAACGAGAAAACCAAAACCAAAAACCAAAACAACCAATAGTGATATACCACTTCGCCCTTACTAGCTTGGGTATAATGAAAAAGATAAACAATAACTATTGGCAAGGATGTGAAGAAATGTGGAACCCTTATACAGTGGTTGTGGGACTGTAAATTGGTTTAACTGCTTTCGAAAATGGTCTACCAGTTCTTTAAAAAGTTAAATGTGAGGCCGGGGATGTATCTCAGCGGCATGGCACCTGCCTGGCGAACACAAGGTCCTGAGTTCAATTCCTGGTGCCCCCCCCCCAAAGTTAAATATAGTTATCCTATGACTCAGCAGTTCCATTCCAAGAGAACTGAAACCATATTGGCCACACAAAAGCTTTACACTAAGGGTTATTGCAGCACTATTTTGTGTGTGTTTTTTTTTGGTACCGGGGATCGAACTTGGGACCTTGCGCTTGCAAGGCAGGCGCCAGAACCACTGAGCTAAATCCCCAGCCCTGCAGCACTATTCTGAATAGCCCTCAAATAGAAACAGTGCAAATGTCTATCAACTGATAAATGGTAAACAAAATGTGGTGCATTCACGTAGTGGAATATTATTGGGCAATAAAAAGAAGTGCTGGTGCATGTTACAAGGATGAAATTTGAACACTTTATGCTAAGTGAAGGCAAAGGCAAGCCACACAGTGTATGATTCTATTTGTATGAAATATGCAGTGGGAGGAAATTTATAGAGACATAATGTAGATTATTGCTTAACAGGGACTAAGAGGAGGGGGCAGGAAGAAGTGACTTAATTAGGTGGGATTTCTTTTGCAGTGATGAAAATGTTCTGGAATTAGTGGTGAAGGTTGCATAATTCTGTGAATATAGTAAAATCCATCCACCTTTAAAAGGGGGAACTTTTGGGCATAGAAACCTAGATCTCAGTAAAGCTGTTATACATGTTGGTTTCAAACTGATGTCGTTTTGGTTAAAATTTTTCAGACAGTAGTAACCCTAGGTTATTTAGAGGAGAGATCGGGTGGTTGAAGCTAGAATGAGAGGCATGGGGAAGATGAGGTTTGAGAGTGGAGACAGTGTTCATTAGCAGCTTCCTTCTCTTGCTCCATGGTCCAGCCCCTGGACGACAGTCTCATTGCGTTCCGGACTCGCTCCAAGATGCCCCTGAAGGATGTTCCTCTGGGCCAGCTGGAGGCAGAGCTTCGGGCTCCAGACATCACGCCCGACATGTATGACCCCAACACGGCCGATGACGAGGACTGGAAGGTGTGGCTGGGGGGACTCATGAATGATGATGTGGGCAACGAAGGTAATTCAGATTCTGTCTGTATTTATTATATGTTCTATTCATTATCTCTGTGGTAAAATTTTCACTAATTGGAAGGAAGCTCAAAGAATGGGATTGTGGGGGCTGGGGATGTGGCTCCCTGGTGGAGCATGTGCCGTGTGTAGCATGTGTAAATTCTTGGGCTTAATCCCCAGCAACAACAATGAAAAAGAATGGGATTGTGTGGGAAAAATAAAGTGTCTCACTTTTCTTCTGTTCTTATGCCATAACTAACACACGGGACTTCTGCAGTCTCAGAAGGTATAGGAATTTCTCCTTACCAGCAAGCAAGCAGTTCTGCAGCTGTAGACACCAGCTGAGTCCTCTGATTCCATTCGTTACTATGTACCTTAACCCAGACTTGGAACCCCCGGGTTGTGGGCTCAGTCCCCAAGGCTACTACCCTTCTTTAGGTGCAGTTTCCCAAAAGAAAAATGTTACCAGAATTGAGGAAGGAGTATTGATCACATAAAAGTTTGGATAGAAACTTGACTAAATAACTGGGTGTAGGTAGTTGAAGCTAGAGTATAATAAGGCTAAGTGAGTGAACAAAAATAACAAGTGCTTGAATGTACCGTATCATACTATTAATTATTATTTTGTACATCACTTGCCAAATGATTATTAAGTAGTTTTCTCATGTAGGCATCCAGCTACAGTCTGTGAAAGATAAAAGAACCTAACGATTTCATCAGGAAATAAAATCTATGTGAATGACAGAGTACCTGGCCCATTGTTAGGTTTATAATATACGTTATTGCCTAGGCTGGCCTTGATCTCCTGGACTCAAGCAACCCTTCTGTCCCAGTGTACCAAGTAGCTAGTACTACACATACATGCCACCATGCCCAGCTTGTGAGGTTTTAGAAGAGGAAAAGGTAATTCTTGTTTAGGAAGATCAGCGACAGCTACATGAAAGAGTATTAGGTTTGAGACCAAGCACTCAACACCTACAGCTTCCCTTTAGGGGGGAAAGTTTACTTCGGCTCTTGGTTTCTCAGGGCTCAGTCCATGGTTGGCTGGCTCCAAGGCCAGGCAGAGCAGAGTTTTTCACTTTATGGTGACTGGGAAGTGGCGCAGAGGAGCAGTGCCAGAGAGGAAAGGGGCAGGGACAGATCGTGCCTGAGGTCACCCTCCAGGACCCACCCATACACACCCAGAAGTTCCCAAGCCAGCCAAGTTGATGCCTAAGCTTAATCATCACAGCCTTTGAAAGATTTTTGAAAATGGTGACAGGGAGGGAAGACTGTTATCCCATTAGTGTCTTTTGTTTTTGTTTTTTTTTTTTTTGGTACCGGGGATTAAAGTCGGGTCTTTGCGGTTGCACACCAGGCGGCGAAACCACTGAGCTAAATCCCTGGCCCCCATTAGTGTCTTTTGAAGCACTCTAAGCTTCTGGGGTTTTCTTTATTCAGCAGATTATCAAATCTGATGAAAACTATACAACTTTTCTCCCCAAAATTGTGTATATCTATATAGAAAAAATTTTTGTATGACTTTTTTGGGGGGGTTTGCATCACTCTTAAAGTTTATTTATTGGGCCGGGGATTTAGCTCACTGGTTTTGCCACCTGCTGAGCAAGCACAAGGACCTGAGTTTGATCCCCAGTACCAAAAAAAAAAAAAAAAA